GTACAATTGAAGTCAATTTCGTACAATTGAAGTCAATTTCGTACAATTGAAGTCAAATTAGCACAATTGAAGTCAAATCAGTACAATTAAAGTCAAATTACTACAATTGAAGTCAAATCAGTACAATTAAAGTCAAATTACTACAATTGAAGTCAATTTCGTACAATTGAAGTCAATTTCGTACAATTGAAGTCAAATTAGTACAATTGAAGTCAAATCAGTACAATTAAAGTCAAATTACTACAATTGAAGTCAAATCAATACAATTAAAGTCAAATTACTACAATTGAAGTCAAATTAGTACAATTGAAGTCAATTTCGTACAATTGAAGTCAATTTCGTACAATTGAAGTCAAATTCGTACAATTGAAGTCAAATTCGTACAATTGAAGTCAAATTCGTACAATTGAAGTCAATTAGAAGTCAATTTCGTACAATTGAAGTTAATTTCGTAAAATTGAGTATATTAATATATAGTTATAGGGTTTAGGGTTTAGGGTTTAGGGTTTAGGGGTTAGGGTTTAGGGTTTAGGGTTTAGGGGTTAGGGTTTAGTATAGTATATTAATATATAGTTATATTATATATTATATTATACTACAATGGTATATATATATATATATATTGTTATATTATAGTATGGTATATTATTATTACATATATGTTATATTATAATGTGATATAACATAATTATTACATATATGTTATATTATAATTTGATATAACATAATTATTACATATATGTTATATTATAATGTGATATAACATATATGTTATAACTGTCCAATTATATGTTATAACATATATGTTATATTATAATGTGATATAATATGATATATAACATAATATAATGTAGTATACAATATAGATTATAAATTATAAATTAAGTATACTATACAAATTACAATTTATTTTATAATCTATTATATAGGATATGTATATGTATATAATTTGTACAAAAATTATCGGAAAGTGTCTGCCGGCACAATGGTACGAGGTGCGCACAGAGAAACCGGACTCACCCATTGACCCGGGTTCGAGTCCTCAATCTGGGAGCCTCTACCATTTTTTTGTGTTTTTATAAAACACGTAATCTCAGAATCCGTGTTTTAAGATAAAAAAACGCGGACGGATTCTGAGAATAATTGTTTCATTAAATATATATAAAAAAAAAAGAACTCGTCTTCATTACAGAGACGAGAGAGTACAGACAGAGAGAGCGCGAGGAGAGAGCAGAGTACAGAGAGAGCACCGATTTCTTCACCAAATTCGTCCAACAAGGTATCATTTCTCTTCATTTTTTATCTACTTCTCGATTTTAAGGATGAATTTAGGTATAAAAGATGTGTTTGTAGCAAAAACATGATGTTAGGGTTAACCTAGGGTTTTTTATATTTTGGATTTTTGCTCGAATTCATCAAATATGTACGAAATTTCTTACATTTTCTTATAATTTCGTGTTGTCAATGACGATTTGAGGTATGGATGGTGGATTCTTGGGATTATTTTGATATTTGGGCTAAGAACTCATTGAGGACTTTTGTCGAACACTTGTTGTGCGTGTCTCATTTGCCACAATTGCTCTCTTTTTCATGTGATTTTTCATTCTAATTGTTACGTATGAGAATGAGAGTGATGTTTAGCATACCATGGAGTAATTTGTTGAAGGATATATGATTGTTGATTATATATCCTATTATATACTCATTATAATGAAGTATTGTTAATTATATATCATATGATTTGTTGAAGTATGGTATATTATTATATGATTGTTGAAGGATATATGATTGTTTTTCATTCTAATTCTTTTTCATGCTAATTGAAGAATATATGATTGTTGATTATGTTTGTTCGATATAATGACTTAAAGGGATTGTGTGTGTTGAATGATATTATGTTTGAAGGATATTATGTTTGAAGGATATATGATTATTGAAGGATATTATGATTATTGAAGGATATTATGATTATTGTGTGTGTTGAACTTTGATCGAACACCTCATGTGCGGTTCTCTCTTGCTTGCTTAAATTGCTCTCTTTTTCATGAGAGTTTTCATTTGATTTTTTTCAATCAACTTATAATACAATCTCGGTCATTTTTTTGCAGAAAATGGCATCCTCATCATCGAATCCTAGACCCTACACCCCACACCCCGGGCCGAATGACCCATCACTTCTATACCTTCAGACCCGCCACCGGTCCGATGCGGTATTTCATGACAGAGCGGGGATGAGGCACGGCGTGGTTAAGCCACGCCGTGCAGACACCCAGTTCTGGGATGCATTGAAGGACAACAACCAGCATGCCCGGACATGGGAGGCGATCGAGAAGGCCATCTTCGGGCCTTTATTTCGGATGGGGTGAATCCAAACAAACAATGCCCTAATTACATGCCTGGTTGAGAGGTGGCGCCCGGAGACGCACACATTCCACTTCGACTTCGGGGAGGCCACTATTACGCTACAGGACGTTCAGATATTATTTGGCCTCCCCGCCAATGGAGATGCGATATGGGGCAACACCATACATCGGTCTGCCCAGGAGTGGAGAGACTACTGCTTTTACTACCTAGGGTATTACCCGTATGTACAGGTATATTTTTTTTAGTTAAAACTTTTTTTTCCTTATTTTTTTAATTATTATTATGTTTATGTATACTTAAGTCATACGTCGTTTTTTATTTATTCTAAACGTATTTCAAGGATCGCGACGACCCGGCCTTCGAC